GGCGGCCTTCTGTCTCGAGTGGACACAGGCCGCGGCGGCGTGGACAGCGAATCCTGTTCAAAATGAACAGGAACTGCTGTTGGGCATTGTACCCACTCTTTCCGTACCCATTTCGGGCGTATAGATGAACCCCGATCCCAGCCGGCTTCCACGTCCCGGCTCTCCCCCGCCGCGCGGCGGCGGATGGGCCGGCGGCGACGGGCGGCCCAGGCCCCCGCCTCCACCGAGGGCTCCGGCTGTTCGCCTCCGCGGGGGTGCGCCCCTCAACGCCACCGAGGCGCACGACCACGTACCTCCCGGACTTTCGGGACCCTGGCATACACACCAGGGCCACCTCCCTCATCCCCTCCCACCCCCAGGAGAGAGGAGGTGAAAAGGATGGTGGAGGAACCAACGCGCTCCTCCCCTACGGCAAGAAGGCCCCGTCTTCGCCTGGCTCCTCATTCGGTGCTCGCTCGAAATTCGAATTCCGCCTGCGAACGTCACTATCTCCTTGGCTGGAACGTCAGAAACGTCAGGGTGGAGGACCCTGATTTTCCAGAATGCTAGAAAATAGCACTCCGGACCTACAGACCTATCCGGGCCTCCTGAAACCTCGACAAGAATTTTGATGCCAAGAGCCTGGTGCAATAATTCAGCCTCGTGGCAGGTCAGGGGAGGGAGGGGGCATATATTGGAGTACCATGTGGGACCTGCTCTGGAACAGGAACATACCGTAGACAGATCTACCCTTTCTCCGACCTTGCGCCGCGCCGAACGCAACGGCCACGTTGTCCATAGCCGTATCCACCCCGAAGCACCCATTGTGTCCATGGACGCTTTGGGCTAGAACGGGACAGCGGTAGTTCGCATCGGCCCCACATGTTGGCTTTCTAGAAGAAGGCAAGCTTGGCCCTCCGAGGCACGGAGGTAGAGGTGGCGTATATCCGTGGGGCCCGCGCGGAGGGCGGCTGGCGGCAGGAGGCAAGCAGGAGGGCCACCCCTCAGGACGCCAGACCCCGAGGCTCGAGGCTTCGAGGCCTCTCGGCCTTCGGGGGCCCTCCTGGTCGCCACGCCCTGGCGCAACGTCGAAGAACGTGTGCGCTTGGACAAGAAACCGCGATGGGAGATGCGGCCGGAGCCGCTTCGCAGAGACATCGGACGGGACGGAGCTGTGTACGGTCAGGAGCGATTGCTCAGCGTGTCGCGGCACCAGCCCTGGCGAAGACGCCTTGCCCTGCGAGCGAACAGCGTGCCGGTCCACGACGCGGGGCTGGAGGCTGGCTGGGGACGTCGACGCCCGGAGGCCTGGACGTAGACAGCCTGCCGCGCCGAAGCGCAGGTGGGCCAGAACCAGCGGCGCCACAAGCTGAGCAGCAGCTCCAGCACCAAGTGAGCCTCCCCCTGCAGCCGAAGCCCGTCAGCAACCGTGCTCAAGGGAGGGGCCCAGCAGGAAGGGGCGGCTTATAAAACACGCGCAGGGCTGCCTTTATAGTGAATCTCGTTTAACCGAACCCCATCCCCAGCGGCGTGGCCTGGGTCCTGCTGGACTTACCCCCCTATATGGGGATATAGGTCGTTCTCCTCGGGTTTCGAGGGATGTATCCCCAACTGGGGTGGTAATTTGGTGGGGGTCTCGAAGGGGATGGAGATGGGGATGGGGATCGGTTAAACGATACCGATTTAGTCAGCATCCATGATCTACGGGGTCAGGGTGGATGTGCCCGCCCTTGAAGCGAGCCTCTGGGAGCGAGGAGGACAGGCAGCGTCGAACCTCGCATAGCCAGACCACCGACGAGATTGTATCCTGTTTCATCTGACGTTTTTTTCCCCCGCGACTCTGGCCAGTGGCGCCTTTCATCCTGACCTGGGACCAGCGGGGTCGCATATGTTTTGTTTCTCTGTGTGCGGGATGCGGCCACCAAAGGAGGCAAAGATGTTCCTATGTATGGGTGATGGCGTATCCCCGCATCCCTTGAACGAGACTACGAGATGCCTTCAATGCGCAACCTTGGGCGGCTCACTCCAAGAAGAAAGAATCTGGACGCCCGTCACACTCGCGCACGACTTTGCGCGAACTCCGCTGCCGACAGGAATCGCGGAAGCCGATCTCCTGTTGGGGGCTACATTTCCTCCAAATCCCCACTGACAATGCACGCAACTGTGGTGCAGCTCTGCGGCACACATGCTCTAGCCACGAGCTTACAGTAGTCCCGGTGGAGTCGTCTTCTGTGGACTGGTCCCACCAAGAGAATGGGGACACCCTCATGAAGTGGAGATGCAACCCAAACCAACACACACACCGGGTGTCCGCAGCGATCAGCAACGTCAAGTTAGCATCACAGTGTGTGTGTGTGTGTGTGTGTGTGTGTGTGTGTGTGTGTGTGTGTGTGTGTGTGTGTGTGTGTGTGTGTGTGTGTGTGTGTGTGTGTGTGTGTGTGTGTGTGTGTGTGTGTGTGTGTGTGTGTGTGTGTGTGTGTGTGTGTGGGGGGGGATGGGGTGTGGGGGGGGGGAGGGGCAACAGGTCATAGAAATAATGTCCTTGAGTGTCTAGCTGAAGCGAGTTTCTGCGGGGTGTATTCTTGTGGTCGTTGTGGGGACCTCATTCTGGAGCATTTGTAATTTGCAACATTCCACTGCAAAGGTGATTGTGGTACAAGAAAGATGTAACACAATAGTATCAACAACGCTAAGGCTGCATAACAGCCGGCTAACCCCTCCTCATGCGCCCTCGCAAGCCTGTCTCAATTGTTGCAACAGCTCTCGCGCACACAAATTGCGGTGTCGCTCCCATACAAACAGGCAGCGCTGGCTTTCTGACCCCGTTCCCGCTGGGGCACTGCATCGCATCACATCTTCACCCAACGCTACTATCGAAATCGGTTGCCCGGTACCCACTGTCGCCACAGACTCCAAAATCATGCACTCTGCGCCGTCTCGGCTATTTGTGGGGCTCCCGTGGGGACCGAATGGAGCTCATATGGGAATCCTGTCGTACTCTTATGGGGAGATCTTGCCGGAGTCTGGCAGGACTCCATGACTCCTGCAGCGCTCACAGCTCACAACGCGCATAGGAGTATCCTGTATCGCTCCCATCTGACTCTGGGCCATGACCCCCGTTCCATTTCCAGGGACTCGACTACATAATTGATTTTACCCAAAAGATGTCTCGTCGAATCTACAGTACATACTTATGAGCATCCCCCCCTTCATCCCCCCTTCACCTTGTATCTCTTTATCCACGGGTTTGAACGTGGTTGGATTCAACTGAAACAGCAGGCGGGGAGGCCGAACAACATTGTCCCCCAAAAGTTCCTCTTCTAGCTCAGGCGAATCGCGATCCAGGCATCCTAACATCGACATCTCCGGGGAAGAAATGTTTCTCCCGCCTAAACCCCGCACTGTATTATACTCAGGAGAGTATTCTCACCGGGTGATGGCTCACGTTCGTAGACCTACGGACATGAGATCCAGCTTCGTAGATCCGACCAACAAGTGAGCGTGGGGGAACGCCACATCCCCTGCCTCCCTCCTCCCCCCTTGAGCGCGGACGCTGGGCGCACACCTGCGGTCAAGTCGGGCATGTCCCTCTACAGGGGGAAGATGCAAAAACAGTCTAAATCTAGTCTGGGGGGCACTGTCATGATCAGTGTTGGACTAGTGTGGCATCTGTTTTCACTAGTTTAAAGGTTTCGCTAACAATCCGTTTGTTTATATATGTATGTATACATAGGGATACATATATATATACATATACATATATACATATATGTATATGTATATATGTATATATATATATATTGAAAACACAACAAAACTGTTTCAAAAGATGTTTGACTATGTTTGACCTGTGGCTCAAAATCCGCTTGCAGGGGGGACATGCCCGTCCCAAACCCACGGCAACCGCGTCTGCTGCCCCCGCGGTGCGCAGCCTCTGCTCGCCCCGCGGCGCCTGCGCCGGCCACGGCCCCGGGTGGCGCGCTGGCGCACCTCTACAGTTACAGTCATCGGCCTGACCTAAGGTACGATGAATAAGGAACGAAGCTCCTTTTTTATCCCAAGAAATATCGCATAAGGAACGATAAATAACAAATAACGCATCAGTAACTGTAAATAACGCATGCAAGCCTAAGGAACGACCGAGCCCCTTTTGAAAAGTAAGTGTTCCTTACTCAAGCCGCTCACTGTATGCTGCTCCCAGAAGAGTGTCGACAGGTTTTTTTCCCCAAAAATATATGTGTATGCAGTTTGTTTTTCCTCGATCTGACCACCCCTCCCATCCTCCACGCGCGCCCCAGGTGACTGTGAGGGGGGGGGGGGCGGGGCGGCGGGGGCGCGCCCAGAGGGACCCGAAGAATAGAACAGAACACCTTCCTCGTCTTTTATTGTGCCCATCGTACTTAAGGACCACATCCCAGAGATAATTTCGAGCACCCAGAAGAGTGTCGAAACAGTGTCGAACGAGTATCGCCTCCCGGGGCCCAGCACGTGAACATCCTCAGATTTCGGTACTGTCTTCCTGGTGCTCGAAATTCAGGTGGTCAAGGCTAAGGTAGGTTGGAACATCGAAAGTCTACAGGGCAACGAACAGAACACAGAAACACGTGCACTTCCGGAGCTCCGCGCGGGCTTCTCTGGGACTCGCCATCGCTCGGACGTCCATTCCTCGGGCATGCCTCGGCTTCGTGCGCACCTTTTTCTTTCTGCATGGTGACCCACAAAGCTCCTCGATGGAGAAAACACACACCAACACACACACGCACACACACACAAACACACACAAACACACACACACACGTACACACGCACACACGCAAGCAAACACACACACACACACACACACGCACACTCGTCCGAGCGATGCCAGGTGGATCGGCGCTGAGGCTGAGGCGGCGCAAGGAGGCGCCGCCTGGAGGGCTCAGCGCCGCAACCCTTTTTTTCTCTGCCGCTCGACGCCGCGCCACAGCATGGCACATCTCCACGCGTTTGATGCGCCTGGCGGCCGTCCAGCTCGGAGATCGCTACCCCCTCCGCGCAGCTTTCCTGTTGCCACGGCAGACGACGACGGAATAAGAACAGAAGGCACGCACACACGGGCGAGAACAGACGACATCCATGGCATGGCGCCGTGGAGCACTCCGTAACGCTCTACTGCTGAAGAAGCACCAGGCGTTCGGACAAAACACTCGACGCGGAGATCCCCATGTGCATCTTATGTTCTGGCAAGTCTCGCTGTGAGCGTCTGGCTGTCATCGTCTCGGTGTGGACAGCGAATCCGAGTAGACGACGGGCGCGACGACGACGCCGGCGGCTACTGCAGTCCGGCCGCGAACGGGGGAGTGAGGTACCCCCCTTTGCGGCTCCCCCTTTGGTGTGCTCCAGTGATGCGCCTGCTATGCCGAGATGATCATTGGACCACCAACGGAGAAGTCTGAGGCGCCGGTTCCAGCAGAACGCCTGGGACATCCCCGCAATCCGGCCGCGGCCGGGGGAGCGAGATACCTCCTGGCGGCTCCGCCTTGGGGTGCCCCAGTGCTACGCCTGCTATATCGCGGTGAACAGTGGACCACCAACAAGGGAGAGAATTGAAGCGCCGAGTCCAGTCAACCGACCAAGACATCCCCACAGTCTGGCCGCGACCGAACGGGGTGCGATCCCCCTCTGGAGGTTCCCAAGCACCCCAGTGCTGCGCCTGCTATATCGTACTGGATCACCAACAAGGGAGAACATTGAGGCGCCGAACCCAGCAGACCGCCTAAGACATCCTCATCGTCTGGCCGCGAACAGGGGAATGAGATACCTCCTGGCGGCTCCCCGGTGGGGTGCCACAGTGCTGCACCGTTGCTTACGACTACTGGTCGTCAAACAAACAACGTTTGACGCTTCATCTCGGCAATCTCTTGCGACTGCGGGCTGTCAAACCGAAGAACGTGTGCTGCCTCAGCTCAACAACTTCTTGTTCTGTTGGCTGTTCTGACTACCGGCTGCCATGCAACACAGCGTGTGACGTGTCGTCTCGGCAGCGGCATCGGTACCCTGCCCTCCTCTGAACACGGCGGCGGCGGCGGGCGGCGTCAGCGGCAGCAGCAGCGGCAGCAGCAGCAGCAGCGGCAGCGGTCGCGGCGGCGGCAGCGGCGGCGGCAGCGGCAGCGAGCGGCGGCGGCGGCGGCGGCGGCGGCAGCGGCAGCGGTCGCGGCGGCGACAGCGGCGGCGGCCGTCGCGGCGAGCGGCGGCGGCGGCAGCGAGCGGCGGCGGCAGCGGCGCGGCAGCGGCAGCGCGGCGGCGGCGGCGGCGGCGGCAGCGGCAGCGGTCGCGGCGGCGACAGCGGCGGCGGCCGTCGCGGCGGGCGGCGGCGGCGGCAGCGAGCGGCGGCGGCAGCGGCGAGGGGGCTCCTGGCGCGCCCCGCCGGCGGGGCCGCGGCTGGCCTGCGGCGGGGCCGCGGCGGCGCGTCCCTGGCGCGCGCGCGCGGCGGCGCCCCGCCCGCCAGCGCCGCACGCGCCCGGCCCGGGAGGCGCGCCGCCGACGCCGTGTCGTCGCAATCCGACAATGCAAAGCACTGAAAACATCAATCATAATAACAAGAACACTAACAATAACATCTACAACAACACCACCACCAACAACAACAACACAACACAACAACAACAACAACAGCAACAACAACAACAACCACAGCAACAACAACAACTACAACAACAACAACAGCAACAGTAACACAAACAGCGGCATGAACAACAACACCACCACCACCAACAACAACGCAACGAAGCAACAACAATAATAACAATAACAGCAAACACAACAACAACAACAACAACAACAATAACAACAACAACAACAACAACAACAACAACAACAACCGCAACAGCAACAGCAACACTAACAGCGACATTAACAACAACAGCAACACCAACAAGATCAACAACACCAACAATCCGCACCGAAGAACCTCACTTCAGCCACGCACCCAGGGACAACCAATGACCCTTCGGCCCCCTTCACTCTGACATGTCCACTGCTACCTGGCCAGGCCCATCCTGACTCCAGCAGCGGTGTATACGCCACGCCTGGCTTGGCTTGGCCAGGAGGGTATCTGCACAGCTCCTGGGTTCAGGATGGGGGCCTGGCCAGGACCATACGTTCCCCCCTGATCCCATGATCCTTGTCGTCTGGGCTTTCTCTTGTCCAGTGGCCGTTCGGGACAATCTCGGCGCCCCTGGCCGCCTCTGGTCGAGGTGAAGCTGCTGGAGAGCACCCCGAGCCTAGCTCGCACCCCCAACACCCCACAGACACTCATTCGCGCACACACACACATACACACACAAACACACACACACACACACGCCCACGCACGCACGCACGCACGCACGCACGCACACAAGCAAACACGCACACACACACACACACACACACGCGCACGCACACGCACACGCACACACACACACACACACACACACACACACACACGCACACACACGCAAGCAAACACACACACACACACGCACACACACTTGCGCGCGCGTTGAGCGTCAGAAACTTCATGTCCGAGATGCCGTCTATCACGCCCATTTTCTCCAAGCGGCGGTCGCCCTCGGGTCTCTCCCTCGCCTCCCAAGGAACTGGCCCCGCGAGCCGTTCTGGCCGCCGCGCGGCCTCCGCCGCCGCCCCGTCGCCGCCCGTCCCCTGGGCCTGCGGACCCCTCGGGCCGCCGCGTGGCCGCCTCGTCGCCGCCGCCCGCCCGCGCTGCTGCGCTCCGCATCGCTGTGCCTCGATGGGCATGGCTTGGCACTGGTCGGCAGTGCGTTGCATTGCTCGGCATAGCTTGGCACTGGTTGGCAGTGCGTCGCATTGCTCGGCACTGCTCTGCGCTGCTTCGCACCGCCCTGCACCGCGTTACGCTGCGCTTCTTTGCGGCACTGCGTTGCAGCCGCCTTGCTTTACAATCGCCTGGCGTTGTACTGCTTTACACGGCGTTGCATTGGTTTGCAGTGCTACGCCGTGCTGGTCATTGCTATGTCGTGCTGCCCTAATACTCTGCATTGCTTTGCACTGATCGACATTGCTTATCACTGCGTTGCATCGCGTGGCAGTTCTCATTGCGTTGAAGCTGTTGTGCGTTGAATTGTGTTGCTGGCACTGTTTACATTGAGTTGCAGCACGTTGCATGCATTGCATAAGTTTGCCGTACGTGGCACTGCTTTGCGATACGCAGAATTGCAGTACATGGCGTTACACTGATTCGTGTGTGTTGCGTTTCACCTCTTTACATCGAGTTGTATTGATTTGCAGTGCGTGTCATTGTTCAGCATTGCCTTACACTGTTTCTCACTGAAGAATTGCCGTTCACTGCTTTGCATTGCTGGGCGTTGCTTTGCATCGCATAGCACGACATAGCCGACACCACACAGCTCACATCAAATCTACTGCACTGTATGGACTGCACCACTATAGCTCGCACCGCAATATTGCATTGCAATGGTTTCACCAAATTGATGTCACCACATACCTTATATCACGTAGGTCGCATCACATGGAATTCACCACGTAGCTCACATCCCATAGATCGCACCACTTAGATGGTACCACGTAGCTGACACAATAGTTCGCACCGCATAGATGAATACGTTTGCTCCTACCACATAGATTGCACCACGTACCTTGCACAGCATAGCTTACGCCACACATATTACGCCTTTAGCATGCACGCCACAGCTTACACCACATAGCTCGCATCACGTAGACCTCACAACATGACTTTGCACCACATAGCTTGAACCACAGACGTAGATTGCATAACCTGGCATGCTAGAAACCACTGTCTGGGGTCCAAGCCAGCTGGCATTATTCAACTTCTTCGACAAATGCAACCAGTTTACAAGTATTGTTCTTCACCGGATAGAAACCACTGGCTTTCTCAACAACGTAGTCTCCATCTCAGAAAGCCCATGACGATGACGAACGCCAACTTCAACCATATGATATATTCAGTGACGTGCTGGCTCAAATCACGAATCTCGACCGCTCAAAACAAACACGCTGACAGCTTCCAAAGAAACGTTCATTACAAAGATGGGCGCCGAACCCATGGGGAGGTGACCTTAGTTGGGAGGGCCAAAAGCATTAGGGACATGAGGCTCTTTCCTTCGATGCGTCATACCGAACCGCCCGGATCTATGATCCCTGACCACGTGGACCCAAGTGAGGCCACGTCTTCACTGTCTTCTCAGACGCCTGCTGCATGGGGCCCGAGTGGATGGGGTCGGAGGATCGCGCCGCATCGCAGATGCATCGGCACTGCATCGGCGACTTCGGCGGTACATCGGCGACGCGGGCGTGGGGAACAGCGGGCCCCGCACCGAGTCAAATCGCCGATGCATCGCGACGCGCGGCGGCCTTCCCGCCCCCGGGGGGGGGGCCCCACACGTCGGGCGCCAGACGCGAGGGGCAACGGCAGGGGTGGGGACCTTGGCTCCCCTGAGACCCTGGCGTCTCCACTGCTCCACCACGGGCGCCCTCGCTCGATCTCACCTCGCCCCCGAATTGTTGCGGAGCGGTCTGGGAGGCAGGGCTTCATCGTTCTCGGGCCAGGGGATGATCTGACTTTCTCGGTGGCATGAGACTCCCGCGTCGGCGGCGATCACCACGACGACGGGGACGATCCGACGACGACAGCGCGGATGGCCGTCGTCGGCGTCGCCGTCGCAGGGGCCCCGTGGGCGGCGACGACCACGACGAGGCCGGCGCCGGCGGCGGCGCGGGAAAGCACGGCTCCTGCCGCGCCCGGCCGGCGCGGCGGTCCCCAGCGGCTGGCCGGCGGGCGGCAGCCGCTCCGCGTCCATGTGCGCGCCGGTGAGGAGCGAGAAGCGGCTGGGGTCCACCTGGGGCAGGGCTCGACCTAAACTCGGGTCGGAGGAGGAAAAGGCAGCAGAAGGCACCCGTACCTCTACCCTTCCCTCGTGTTCCCCGTTCTGGGCCTCCTCGGAGGCCCTCGCTGCCACCGCTGGATTCGCCTCGAAAGCCTGGTCAGAACGCACCCCCGGAGAGGTCCAGGGAGCAGCGGCATCGGTACCTTTTGGTTTCCCGAGAGCAGGGCTCGACCTAGACTTAGGAGGCAACTACTGGGAGGTCTTCGTCATGGAAAATGGAGCTCCATTTGAGGGGGTTGCGACGCCAGATAAAGCCGGGGAGGGGAGAAAGCGGGATTCAGCGGGACTATAAGGCGGACCAGGCCAGATTAAGTAAGTGGGACTGAGCCGGATTAAGCTGGATTTCGGACCAGAGCAAAGTCAGAATTTGACCTCTCAGGAGTTGCATCCGAAATAAAACATGTTTTTCGTTCTCGTTCTGTATTCTTTGTCCCTCGTTTTGTCTTCGTTCTGGCTTCGCTGCAGAAAGACGTCAAAACAAAAACGGCCCACGGAATCGCCCCAACACTATAGGTCGAGCCCTGACCTGGAGGCCCCGACTCCGCCGTGCCGTGACAGAGATCACGGCAAGATATTTGTTACTGTCTTCAGCCTCCAAGGGCCCTCGCCGGGCCTCGGGGCCATCAAAAAACGACCTAGGGCGAAAAACTTGAAGCCGGTCCCTGGGCAGGGCCCACGTCATGAAAAAACACGGCATCGTAAGTCTGGGATCTGGAGATCGAGGCCTCTTTGGGGAACTTCGGACCAAGGATCGGGGAAGTGCGCTCTTGGTAGAGCAATCCTCAATGATCGAGGAATCTTGGATCGAGTGAGCTCGCGTCGTAGGGCACCAGTTCGTAGATGATGGAGGACTCGGGCTTTCTGAACGTGTTTGCGAATCGTTGGGCCTCCCGCGGCGCAAGCCACACAAAATCCGTGTTGAGCTGAACTAGGCCGGATTGGTGGACCCCACAGTGGGTCGACAGAAACGGCATCGTTCAAAACTGCGCCCAAATGTTCGCGCAGTCGCCCGCCTTGATTTAAGGTAGCCCACCTGCAATATAAGACGCCGATGTAAAAAACTCACAGGGGACACGATGAAAAAAGAGCTGGCTTCTCGGATGATGGGAGAGATTCTGGAGAAGACGATCAGTGGATACCAACGACGACGAAGCCCACAAGCCGGGCCGGACCTCCAAGGAATTGCTCATCGCCGGAGGCTCTGCTGCGCGGCTGGCCCCCCGGGCAGATCTTCATCGCCATCCCAGGGTGCCCTCGGACCGAGGATCCCATACCTCTGTGGAGAATGGCTGCATCCTGTTGGGCATCCTGGAGCGCGAGCCACACCGAGCCTCGTACTTAGCTGGATCAATTAGGCTTGAAGGAGTGGGGGTACCACATGCAAGAAGTGCTCGTCTGGCCAGCTACAGTGGAGGTACTACCAGAAGAAACGCCAAATAAGGATCAAGGGGGATTTTCTGGCCACGGTGGGCCTAGGCCACAAGCAAATCCCGCGATATAAATCTAAGAAACGACCCAAATCACCGAGCCCCTTCCGAACCCAAAGCGGTCCTTATTTCAGCGTCTTGGCTGTATACGAAAACTGACTTTGTGAATTTGTTGCTGTGGACATGCTAGGCATTTAAAATCCGAGCCGCCGCAAGCCGCATCGAGAAACCGTGCTGCGATCTACATTTAGAATCGCATGCTTCCCAACTGATGGGAAGGCGAACCCTCTCTGCCGCAGCCGGCCAGGGAGGGGGAGGAGGAGGAGGAGGAGGAGGAGGAGGAGGAGGAGGACGACGACGACGACGAGGAAACTGCGCATGCCCGCTGGCGGTTGGCGGCGAGATAGCAGCTACAGAGCAAACCATCATACGTCGAGCTTCTCGTGCTCAACCCTCTTCTTCTTCTTTGCGGGGCTCCAGGGGACGTACCCATACGTGTACATGTGGACAATCTGCTGCTTCATTGTGTACACGAAAAGCACGACGAAGTAGAGCGCAAGGGTGCCCCCGTCCACGTCAAAGTCGCAGACGTCCAGGAATGATGCGACGAAGGCGACGGCTGCCGCAAAGACACCTCTGGACCACAGCTTGAACTCCGAGAGGGCCCGCACGAAGGGCCGGTACTCGACGCCAGCCGGGGCCATCGGGAGGTCGTCGTCCTCGGTGGCCGGAGAGAGGAAGAGGATGACCTGGTTCAAAATGTCCGCCGCCGCGCCTGCAGCAGTGGGTCGCGGCTGGTGTGCGTCGAGCCCCTGCTTCTGCGTCGGCTTCACACTTCTCCCGGGCACAGGCTACCATGGACGAGGGCTCAGTGGATCTGGCGCGATGGCGCCAGGTCAAGGGATCGAGGAAGGTCCCCCCGGGGCACGGGGCCCGTGCCGCCTACTCTTTGGCGACGGGGCGCGCCGATTCTGCACAGAAGCGGCGGAACCCGTCGCAGAGCCGCGCGCCTTGATCTGTGCTTGCGAGCCGTCGATTCTTGGCAGTGCTCAGCCCCCCCTCCCCCCCAACGCCTCGAACGGACTGTGCGGCACTGTGCTGGACCGAATCGCTCCCCTTCTTGTTTCACTTCCGGGCAAGCACCGCGTGAGCGTTCTATGCCCCCCCCTCGCGGGGGGTGGGGGCGGCCCCCCGAGCGCGGCTTCGGTGGCAACGCATGGGAGCCTCGCATACCATCTTGTCGGCTCTTGCGAATCGACGCTAAATCGACGCTAATCGACGCTAAATCGACGCTGAGACGGCGCTAGACGACGCTAAGTCGGCGCTACCTCATCGACTCCCAGACGCCAATCGACGCTAGCCCACGCCAAAGACGGACCCACGATGGCATCCCAGGCTCCCACGCTTCGCTGCCGAGAGCGCGGTGGCGGACCCGCGCGGCGGCGCAACTGGATAGATGGCCAGCGCGTAGGCTGCGAAGAACTGCCGCTCGATGAGGACGACGCGCGCCGTGAAGCAGACGAGGAGGCCGGACAGCGACAGCCACCGCAGCCACCACCACGGCACGAGCCTGTCCGCCGCACGCTGCAGCTGGAGCTCCAGCCAAGCGGGGGAGAAACTGTCGTCCTGAGGCGGCCCTATGGTCGGGCGGGTGGTAAACTGGGGGGTGGTCCAAACGGGGGAGGAAGAAGAACGCCCTAAAAGGGGTCCTTTAGGGCCCGTTCTCTTCGGCCCCCAGTTGGGCCACCCCCCAATCAGCACCCGCCCGAGATGGGTTAGGCTGCAAATCCTGGGAGGCCCTGTCAGGAAAAGGAGCAGACTGCAGCAGCAGGAAACTTCGGAGGTCCGCGCGGATCTCTTGGACCGGCGCGGGGTCCCCCCCTCCCTGGCGCGCGGAGCACGCTCGCCGATGTGCCAGAGGCGCCGCCAGGGGGCCCCAACGCCGATACTGGGAGGCTCCGTGTCGTGCAAGAGGGACAACCCCTGGGCTCCTGGCTTTGAATGCTGTTCTGTCTCCTTTTCGGCGCTTTGTATTACTATGCTGATGTTGTGTGTCTCTGTACTTTGGCAGGCTGCTTCGCGTAACTTTTTATTGCACGCGTTTGGCGTGTCGCTCTGCCTGTCCTTGCCCACGCGCTTTTGGCGTATGGCTGCTTCGTTCGTTCGTTCGGGGCGATTTCAGGCCCTGGGACCCTCACAGATCGATCCGGCTCCAGAAAGGCCGCAGGAAGGTTGTGGCTCTGGGGCTCCGGCCGTGGCTCTTCACGACTCACGCTGCTGTCGCTTGTTCGCGTCGCCGGATCTCACTGGAGGGCGGCCAATGCGAGGCGGGTGCTTATCCCTACCCACCGCCTGGGGTACGGATGTCCTGTGACCACCGGGGGCGGTGGAGAATTGCAGCGGAGGCCAGTGCACAAGAAACCTTCCACAAGAAAAACAACCCTGAGACCCCAGGACATCCATTGATTTTTGGTGTGGGAGCGCCACGCTTTCCATAGCAAAACCATGGAAACCCAAGAAACCCAGGGCACCCTGGAGGCGAGCAAGGTGTTTCTTGGCATGAGCTTCCACTGTAAGCCAGATGAGCACGGATTGGGCCGGGGTTATAAAACATGGGGGCGCTATTGGGGCTTCGTCTTGTAAAAACAACTACGGCAGGCAGACCCCGCATCGGATTCGAAGGCAGCCCAACATCGCATTCGACAGCTGGAAGAGGAGCACAAAGAGTGCAGGAGAAGGACGAGAAAGGGGACGAGGACGAGGAAAAGCAGGCGGGTGAGGAGGAGGGGGGAGGGGGACGGAGGAGAAAGAGACTGGGGAGGAGGAGGGAGGGGCATGACTGTAGGAAAGAGGAGGGTGATGTGTAATCTCCGACCTCTCCGCTGGGTGTTTACAACTGATCGCTTTCATAGTCGCTGTCTCATCCTGACTTTCGTGTGCCTTGCTCTGTATCGCTCCAGCTTCTTCGCTGGCAGCACCCCAACACATGATTTAATAATGCAATAGAGCATAGCGCACCATGTGACATGTGACAGTAAAGGTGACTCGATGTCCTTACGGGATTGTGGCCCCACGAGTGAATCCCGAATCGATGTTTGTCGGTGGTGGATGGGGCCTGGGACGGGCTCCGGGCTCGGGGTCGGGCTTCAGGACCCAGCCTCTCGAAAGTGAACATCGTTGGGCCAGGCTGCGCCGGATCAGCACTGAAGGAGCACCGGGCCCGAGGAATCAACTGGAGGCCGTCCGAATCGGGCCGATCGTTGCAGGTCGGAGGATCGCGGCACATCGCCGATGCATCGACGACGTAGAGGCTCGGGCGCTGGATCACGCCGCGTCGCCGATGCAACCTCGATACGGTGTGGTCCTCCGACTCCGCCTTCTCCGGCCACACTCGACCGGTCCGGACACACACGGGGCTCTGGACCGCCTCCCAGGGACCAGCGTTTCGTCTCAGATCGCCTTTTCAGGGTTCCTGGTGACGGTGGAAGGCCCCCAGACACCGAAAATTGCGAGAGACGAGGCTGTCTTCATATCTGGGAGAACCAGAAGGTACCGATACCGCTACTCCCCGGACCTCTCCTGGGGTGCGTTCTGACCAGGCCGTCGAGGCGAATCCAGCGGTGGCGACCAGGGCCTCCCAGGAGGCCCAAAAAAGGAAAACGAGGCAAAGGTAGTGAACGTTTTCTTATTCGGCGCGTCGACATTGGGTGAAGGGGGAGGGGGGAAGGATTGGTTCTGGCTCTGCTCTGGACCTCTGCTTGATGCGACTGTTTGGAACTGTGCGTCCTCTGTGGGAGAGTCTACCTGCTTGACACAGGCGCCGAAAACAACCAAGATCTACTCCATGGGGGGGGCAGATGGCAGAGGGTGTGCGAGGGCCAGCGACGATCGGCAAAACAATAAATAAGAAAAGATCCGTAGCGGTATGCGTACCTTGTCCTGCTTTGAGAGCTCTGCCCCGAGGAGTGGCAGCCCAAGATGGGCAGCGGCTTCGCCGACCTGCGGGAACGCAGAAACAACACCCGCACCGCCACAACCACGAGCAGGCCCTCCCCCTGGCGACGAGGCCGCCTTGCGGAGCGAGGCGAAAGAGGAGGAATAGGAGGAGAAGGAGGAGGAGGAGGAGAAAGGGGAGGAGAAGGAGCAGAATGGGGAGGAGGAGGAGGAGGAGGAGGAAGAGGAGGAGAAGGAGGAGGAGAAGGAGAAGGAGAAGGGAGGAGGAGGAGGAGGAGGAGAAGGAGGAGGAGGAGGAGGAGAATGGGGGGGAGGAGGAGACGGAGGGGGAGGAGGAGAAGGAGAATGGGGAGGAGGAGGAGTGCGACGAGGAGGAGGAGGAGAAGGAGGAGGAGGATGAAGATGAGAAGGAGCAGGAGGAGGAGGTGGGGGGAGCAGGAGGAGGAGGCGGAGGAGAATGAGGAGAATGAGGAGGAGAAGGGGGAGGAGGAGGAGGAGGAGGAGGAGGAGGAGGAGGAGGAGGACGAGGAGGAGGAAGTAAGAGGAGGAGCAGGAGGAGGAAATGGAGGAGGAAGCACGGACGTAGCGGAAACACAAGTGTTGCGCCGTGCTCAGACATCCTAAATGTTCTGCGAGACATGGATATATCCATATCCGCCGCCAGGGGAGGAGCCGTCTGGAGACCCCAGCGGGCGATGGACATGGATACATTTGGGCCCCTCGGGCTCCGAATATATCCAGATCCTCCGCCTGCTCAAGTCCCCGAAGACCGATCCACCTGGCAGTAAGGATGGATAAATCAATTCGTCGGATTTCAAACGGCAAACCCAGAATGGGAAGGCAGATGGGGCGGAGTTTCTCAGAGCGCTCAGAAGACAGCGGCCCCCTGAGCGGCTTTCTGAGCTCTCTCCGAAGACACAAGCGGCGTCTCAGAAGGCCGGGGACATTCTGAGAAGCCTCGCCGCTTCCTGAGAAGGCCTGCCCAGGCACGCCGCCAAAATTTGCCAACTCGGGACATGCACGAGAAACTACATGAAGATACAATTCCGGAGGTCCGCGCGGGTTTCGTGGATCGGTGCTGGACCCCCTCCCCAATGGCGCCTGGGGGGTCCGGCGCCGACCCAAGAGATCCGCACGGACCGCCGAGAGTCTACGATGATGATGCAAAGATCTATGCCACGAGGGAGGAACCGCGGACCTGCTCGCTGGGAAAGCCCGCTGGTGGTGGCGGCGGTGCCGTTCGTTTCACTTGTTGCTCTCTCGCTCTCTCTCTCTCTCTTTCTCTCTATCTCTCTCTTGTGTATCTTTCTGTCGCTATATATATACACACAGGTCAGCCAGCATGGACCCCGAAACGTGATTTCTTGAGGTAGATGCGGCGCAACGTATGCGATACAATCTAGGTGGTGCATCCAATGTGGTGCAAGCTAAACGGTGCAGACCATGAGGTGCAATCTATGTGGGGGAAAAACAATGCAAAGTGCAACACGATGCAAAGCAATGCAGAACAACGCCAATCAATGCCAGGCAATGTCAAGCAATGCGAAGCAATTCCAAGCCACGCAAAGCAATGCACATCACTACACAGCGATGAACAGCAACTCAAATTCATACAAAGCGATGCAAGGCAACGCAAAGCAATGCCAAGCAGTGCAAACCAGAGGAGGGCAACGCAACACAAGGCAAAGCAAAGCAAAGCAATATAAACAAGTGCTTCGCAACGATGTTGCAAAGCAGTTCGATTGCAACGCAAAGCAATGCACAGCAAGGCACATCGATGCAACATAGTACAGAGCAACGCAACTGAAGCAAAGCAAACCCATATAATGCAATGCAGAGAAACGGCTAACAGCGCAACTAAACGCAAACCAATGCAAAGCAATGAAGAACACTGGAACGCAGTAACAAGGAACGCCACGCAATGCCAAGCAATGCAAAGCGATGCAAACCAACACAAAGCAAAGCAATGCCAGAAAATGCTTAGCAATGCGAAGCAATGCAAAGCGGTGCAAAGCAATGCAAATCAAGGTCAAGCAATGCAAAAGAAATGCAGAGCAACGCACATCACTGCAAAGCAATGCACAGAAGTGCAAAGCAATGCAAACAAGTGCTCTGCAATGCGATTGCAAAGCAGCGCGATTGCAACGCCAAGCAAGACAATGCAAACCAAGGCAACGCAGTGCAAAGCAGCACTCACTCACGCAGAACGTTGAGCACCAACATAACACAATCCAAAGCACCAGGAAGGAACTCCATGAGACACGACTCGATGCAAAGCCGCGCGAAGCAATTTAAAGCAAGGCAGCGCCATGCAGAGCAAGGCAATGCACAGCAACACAGGCCAAGCAGCGGAAGCCAATGCGAAGCAATGCGGAGCGGGTGGCGACGAGGTGGCGGGCGGCGACAGGGCGGCGACGGCGGCGAGGGAGGCCCGCGAGCCCGGCCGACGAGGCGGCGACGGCGGCCACATGGCGGCCCGCAGGCCCAGTTCCTGAGAGAGCACGTGAGATACTCCCAAGCGCAAGGTACAGTCGGGGGGAATGCAATATACAAACGTCATGCCAATGCAATAAGCAAACCAATGTAACGCAATGCAGAGCCCTGCAACGAGGCGGCGGCAGCGACCTCAAGGCAGCGGACCCGATGCGCAGGCCCAGACGGCGGGCGGCGAGGGAGGCTGCGACGGGGCGGCGACGGGGCGGCGGCGACGGCCACATTGCCGCCCGATTGCCGCGCAGACCCAGCTCCCTCGAAAGCGAGCTAGGAGCCCCGAGTGCAAGCGCTGTTTTCGGGGAATTTCTCACTACATCTAAATATGCATATAGAAAAAACACTTATGCGTGTGTGTGTATGTATATCGGCGGTGGACAAACCTCCCTTCAGTAAACCTCCCCTTAGTGAAAACGGCCTGGGACCGAAACCGACGGACCTGGACCCGCAAAAATGACGGCCGCGACGCCCTCTCGCGAACCGAAAACGGCCAATTCCTTAATCGACGTGTCAGGGTAGGTCTGTCCACCCCCGAGTATAGGCCCCTTTCCCTCCCTCGCCCTCTCTCCGAGCCTGATGATCGCCTCCATGATGGCCTCGCTCTGCTGGAGCTTCGGCGGCTCGGCCGCCCCTGCCTCCCCGGGGAAACCCACAAGGACAGCGACACCGCTGCTCCCGGGGGGGGGACAGAGCCCCTCTAGTACGATGTTGCTCCCAATTTCTTATAGATTTCGTCTCCCTCCCCCCTCCTGCCCCTCCTCCGCCTCCCTCCCTCTCCTCCTCGTCCCCCTCACCTCCCAGAAACAAACGATGTGAATGAATAATCGTTACCAGCCTCGAACGTATCCCTATCCCTTGGATTGACAGAGCCCCTTGAGTACTATGTTGCTCCCAAGTTCTTATAGACTTAGTCTCCCTCCCAACTCCTGCCCCGCCTCCGCCTCCCTCTCTCTTCCTCGTCCCCCTTCACCTCCCAGACACAAACGGTGTGAATTCATAATCGTGCTGGCACGCCGCCGCTCCCGCAGCGCGGAGGGTCCGGGCGCTCTGTCTCGATTTCTTGCCCGCGCGCTCCGGCACATGGCTCAACCGACCATCGTACCTCACTTAAGGACCACATCCCAGAAAGAATCTCGAGCACCCAGGAAAGCATCGAAACCGTGTCGAACGAGTATCGCCTCCCAGGGCCCGACACGCGAAAGCCCTCCGAATTCGGTGCGTTCCTGGTGCTCGACATTCTTCCCGGCGGTCAAAGCTAAAGCAGGTCGGAACATCATAATTTTACTGGAACATGGTTTCGTGAAAACGAGCTCGGGCCCAAACCTGGCGGACGCAAGCCTGGAAAATGACGGCCGCGGCGTCCTCTCGAGAAGCGGAGACGGACGTGTAAGGGTTGGGGTTCTGTCCACCCCCGATGCTCCCAAGACCTCTCCCTGGGCGAGCTCAGCCCAGGACTTTGGGGCGAACTGCAGTAGGAGCTCGACCACAAGAAAACTTCCACACGAAGTCAAACTTCGGGGCGCATTGCAATAGGAGCTCGACCACAAGCAAACTTCCACGAGAGACCCAACCCGGAGGCCCCAGGACGTCCACCGATTTTTGGCGTGGGGGCGCCACGCTCATCCATCGTAAAACTGTCGAAACCCCAGAAGCTCAGGGCACCCTGGAGGCAAGCAGGGCGTTTGTTGGCATGTGTCCCCACTGAAAGACGAAGCCAGGACGAGGATAAAATCGTGTGAGGATAGAGCCAACATCTCTGAGATCCCGCGGCTCTGAGGATGTCCCGGGCGCCGCGACCTTCTCGGAGCGTTCCGGAACGCTCTGAGAGCGTTCCAGGACGCTCCTCGTCCTAGCCCCGTCCGACGAATCCAGCCGTGGCGACAAGGGCCATAAACGATGCAAGGGTTGCGGTATCGTACCTATTCCTCCGACGAGCTTGCTCCTTTCAACATGAGGTCCACTTCCAGGGAACTAATTCCTCGTGCCGGACCTCTTCCTGGTCCCAGGCAACGGCAAGGGCCTCCAGACACCGACAACGACAGACAAACGCCACCTTTATTAGCTTGTTCCCCCTCTCTGAGCCTCGACCTCGTCGGCGCCGTCCTCGGCCCCACCAGCCCAGGCTCCACTGCATCCGGCCTCCGCCGCGGCCGCGCTGTCTGCGGCGGCGGCCGGCCTGGGCCCCATGGCCGAGGCCTTCCAACGGCTCGGCCAGGCCTCGAGTCGGGTGTTGCTGGAAGTGCTCCTGGCCCAAGGTGCCCCAAGGATTCCAAGGAGGCCACCAAGGCCTGCACCCCTCAGGAGGCCCCGAGGGCCCCAGGGGCTCCAACATCGAGCGAAAAGCTGGGGGCACATTGTGGCCAGGGGTCCCTTTCGCAACCTCCGACTCGAGGGGCGGAAAGAACACCTGAGCCAGTACCACTGCGGACTTGGGCTCGAGGCTCCCTCAGATCCGGGCGTGGCACGTTCTTGCTGCCACGGGCGAATGTTCGCCTCGCGTCGGGCCTCAGTGCCCTCGCAGATCGAACCGATTCGAACAGGCCCTCGCCTGACAAGTTGTGTTTGTTCGGGTTGAAGGCAAGAGCGCTGGACCCGCCTCGCACACCCTGCATGCTGCGATGCGCCAGGCCCGGAGTGCGCCGGTGCCGCCCATGGTTTTCCCTCCTCGTGCCCCAACGAACGACGACGGCATACCTCGGCCGCTAGGCTCAAAGCGTGCCAGAGCTCCCTGGGTAGCTCGCCCCGCGTTCTTGCGCGGTGGTCGCGCAAAGCAACATCGATTGACCTCTCTCGCTTTCGCATACGTCTGCCAGCGTGGACCCCCAGACTGTGGGTGCTTGGTCTCTCGATGTGCAACTATCTGTGAGCATCCGCGAATGACCATCTCCCACGCTCGAAGAATCATTCCACCCACCCACCCACCCGCAACTGGTTGCCAGAGCTCCTGAAAAACACTTGTGCCCTCAATTACCCTTCGGCACGTTCTCAAACATTCCCGCAGGCGCAACGACGCGCCGACACTGCGAACGCAAATTCATGGCTCGGGCAGACGCATGGTAATGACGATGGTGATAATGAGAATGATGAGGAAACGCGAGCGCGTGTGGGCGAGACACTCCTCCGGCATGGGGTGGGCGGGGAGGATCCTTCCAATGCAGGGCAGTTGGCTTCGTGGCCAGCATATCTCTCTTCTGGTGCCAAAGACTTTCCCAATCCTCGTTCGATTCTGGTTTGGCCGTGCGTGTTCCTCCGCTTTGGAAGCCTAAGCTTCAAAAGCGACAGCGCGTGTGAATTACGTTGCCGGGTGCACAAGACGAGCGGCTGAGCAGGCCAAAGCACTGGGCTGATATTGGATAGCATTCGTCTGAAAAGTTGTGCGTCCCATGTTGATCTCGTGCTCATCCTGCGTCTGCTCCTCCTACACCTTGTCCCAGTCCCCACTTTTGCCTTCCCACTCGTCCCTACATGGAAGACCGAGGGAAAGGGAGCGGGAACAAGAAAGAGCGAGAGAGAGAGAGAGAAACATAGAGATCGATGTTACTACCGATGTACATAGATACTACAACATATGGGGGCAAAACAAAAGAAGAGAGAGAGAGAGAGAGTGAGCGAGAGAGAAAGAAGGAGAGAGCGACAGAAACGACGTCCACTGGGGTAATACATGCTTCGAATATAAATGAGGACAAGAACGTGTTTGACTATACCTTATGTGCACAGCGGAAACAAGAAAGAGAGAGAGAGAGAGAAAGAGATAACGATAACACATTAACGAGAGCAAGAGAGGGGTGTGAGAGAGGGAGCTACACACATAGAACAAGATAGCAGTCACACAGAGGGATACGAGTATCTATATAGCCACACATTTATATATACATCGTGTGTTATGAGAGACATAGGAGGAGACATGTGACATACTCATACAGAGGCACACAAACACACACATCTATGCCGCTTAGACATCCCCACCTGGGAAGCGCTTCAAAAATATTCGGCCCTGAGCGTATACCACGCGGTGTTTCTTTAAACTATTTCTTGGCGGTTTATTGCATGTGTCCCCATTGCTGTTATTTCAGGAGTGCGTTGTGCACTTCACGGTTGGCCGCGCCGATTATTCAACCAAGTTATTGTACGGTGCGACTCATGAGTGTTAGAAGGTTGCATGCGCATGCCATGTACGCGTGCCCAAGATGCCCAAGCCTTCGTTTACCTACACATGCGCATCCACATGTCTTATATACATGTATACATGCACCAAAGTATATTCACCCCAGCGAGCGTTTTTTATCTATATATATATATATAAATTAATGTTCGTATCGCTGTACATTGACCCCATGCAAGCGTTTCGCGGTCGCCTCGCTTCTAGCGAAACCCGCGCTCGATCAAGTCACATCGGTTGGAAGACTATGAAGGAGCTGCTTCAGAAAAGGAACATACCATACAAAGATCAATCCTTTGTCCCCGAGCTTTCACTGAGCCGGACGCAGCGGCCGCGTTGCCTCCAGACGCTTAAGCCTGGAATGTATCTACGCATGTAACAACACAGAGTGTGCCTATAGACGGACGCTCGTGGCTAGAAGGTGGGAGCGGCATGTGCCATAGGCCCCATATACTGGCCTTCTGGAAGCAGGTCGACGTTCCCCTCCAACTGCAACGCAGCGGGCGTCCTTTGGGCCGTTGCCCTGTTGGGCCGTCTGGGCCGTATCTGTGCCCACTAATTGCTGTTGCTCCCGCGGGCCCGCCGAGCTGCCCCGGTGCCTCGTTTCACGGGGTGCGCGTCCCGCTTCGCGCGGGGCCCGTGGGGCCCGCTTGCCGCGGCATGCAAGGTGTCGGGCCAAACTCCTATTTCCTTCGAACCTGGCAGCCACAACCGGCCGGGTGTGAACAACGCTGGGGAGAGACACTCGGAGACGGAGGTAAGGGATGGCGGAGGTGTCCTGGCCACATGGCCACGCGAAGCAGAAGCAGGCGCCCAAATGGTCACGCGTCCGTGCCCTGGGCCACTGCGGCGAGCCACCCTGCGGCGGCCCCGGGCCGAGCAGCGCCCCGCGCCAAGGAGGCCGCGGGCTGCCAGGCCCGGAGGGAGGCGACCGCCTCCCGGCGGCGCGCATGCCTGCCCCCGCTCGCCTGCATCGTGGCCCCGCCTGGAAGGCGCACCCTCCTCGCGCGCAGAGACGAGCAGCGGCGCGGCTGCGCGGATCATGGCGCCGTCCCGGGGCGGCGCGCCGGCGCCGAGACCCCGAGAGCTCAGGCGCCCCCCGGCAGCCTGGACCCGGTCCTCGGAGTCTACCTCCACTTCCGCGCTGCCCGCCACGAGCGCCACCGTGCTCAGGAACGCCTCGCAATCGTTCCCGAGCACGGGTGTCGCCGCGTGCCGGCCGTGCGCGACGGCGACCGCCCGCGAGACGATCCGGTCCTCGTTGGCCGTGTTCGCCACCACGACGCTCGCGATCGCAGTCGCGAGCGAGGCCAGGCTTGGCCACTGGGAGGAGAGGAGGAGGGCGTGCAACTCCTTCTCTTGGTGTTGCTGGCGGGTGGTACGAGGATTGAGCCAGACAGAGAAAAGAAGGACAGAGCGCCCATCGCCTCAGACGTCGTGATTGCTTCGTTCTTGGCGTCACTGCCGATCTCAAGCCCCGAAAGAGCGTGTTCTACCGCTGCTGGCGGAAAACCGGGGGGGGTCACTACCGGTTCGAACCCCTCCCCCCCCCCTCCGGAAAACCGGGGGGGTCACTACCGGTTCGAACCCCTCCCCCCCCCCCCCCCCCCTCATCATGAAAAGGGGGGGGGGTCACTACCGGTTCGAACCCCCCCCCCCCCCCCTCGAAAACCGAGTGGGGGTGCGGACAGTGGTGGGGACGGTGGTTGGTGGGGACAGTGGGACAGTGGTGGGGACGGTAGTGGTGGGGACAGTGGTGAGGGGATAGCGGGACAGTGGTGGGGACAGTGGGACAGTGGGACAGCGGTGGGGACGGTAGTGGTGGGGACAGTGGTGGGGACAATGGTGGGAACAGGGGGGGACAGTGGACAGTGGTGGTGACGGTGGTGGTGGGGACAGTGGTGTGGGGACAATGGGAACGAGGTGGAAACAGTGGGACAGTGGAGGGTACAATGGTGGTGGGGACAGTGGTGAAGGCGGTGGCGAGGACGGCGGTGGGACAATGGGACAGAGGTACAGTGGGGACAGTGGTGGGGACAGTGGGGACAGTGGTGGGAACAGTGGGACAGCTCAGTGGGACAGCGGAGGAGTCAGTGGGACAGTGGGGACAGTGGGGATAGTCGGGCAGTGGTTGGGGCCGTGGAGACAGTGGGGAGAGTGGAACCGTGGTGGGAACAGTTCTGGGGACAGCGGGGACAGTGCGACAGTGGTGGGGCCACTGGTGGGGACAGTAGGGGCGGTGGTGGAACCAGTGGGGACAGCGGTGGTGAGGACAGTGGTGCTGGGAACACCAGTGGGGGATGTGATGCGGACGGTGGTGGGGACCGGGAGTCGTTTGCTGGCGGTGAGTGGGGGGGGGGGGGGGGGGGGGGGGGGGTTCGAACCGGTAGTGACCCCCCCCGTTTTCCGGATCCGCAGGGGGGGGGGGGGGGGGAGGGAGGGGTTCGAACCGGTAGTGACCCCCCCGGTTTTCGAGCGGGAGGGGGGGAGGGGGGGGGGGCGGGGGGGGGGGGTTAGGGGAGGGGGGGGGGTTTGCCGGGGGAGAGGGGGGGGGGGGGGGGGGGTGGGGGGGGTTCCGGCAGGGGGGGGGGGGGGGATTTTCGGAGGGGGGGGGGGGAGACCCCCGGGTTCCGGAGGAAAAGGTTGGCAATTTTCCACAGTAAAGCGGCGGTGGATCACGCTCTCTCCAAGCCCCAGGACACTCATAAAACCATCAGGGGCGAGAGGCTATCCAAAGAAACGGGATAGACAAATGTGGGGCCGACGGAGCGACACGAATCCCCACGTCAATCTGGGAATGACGGGCGACGAGACTGGGCTGAGAGGTCCCAGGACTTGCGGTGGGGCGGGGCCCGAAGGGGTACAGAGCACACCCCGTCGCAGAGAATGAGTGGGTGGACCGCACCGTCGCAGTAGCGTCGCAACGGGTGTGTATGTACACCCTTCTTCTTCTTCATCCATCACGACGGCAAGGGCCGTTCTATTCTTGCCCAACCGCTCGCACTCTGCCAAATAGAGAGCCCCTGAAGCAAGCCTGCGAGACATGATTTCGTACGGCCCAAACCAGGATACATGCTTTCGGACGAAACCATCTGTTCGCCAGAGGCAGGGACTGCGTAAGCTGTTCGTACCATACACCGATGCGATACCAAAGAGGCCTGTGTGACTCCCTTATGGGAGCTGTGAGTCATGACATGGTGCGGGAGAAACTATTGCTCGCACTGTCCCTACAACGTGGCTTATTTGTTTTCTAGGCTGCTCCCATGTGGTGCGAAAGGCATGCTTAATATGATGTCGGCCTTGTCTGCTTGCTACATCCACAAGGGTGCTTCAACTCATCGATCGAACACTATCCATCACATTTCGACCATCAACGGCAACGTTCCCGACCACTGCCGGGCCGAACCCATCTCATGCTTGTACAACGAAACATAACAAGTCGGAGGAGACTGGGTTGAGACAACGGCAACTGAAAATCGGTCCCAGGACCCCTCCCATACTCCAAACGAGCCAAGTTCCCGAGCCGCGTCCAGCTGAGGCGACGAGGGGTCCCTCCGAAGGCCAACTACCGTTCTCTCAACTGGCCCTCCTCTGAGGAACAGGAATGGGATGGAATATGCGTCGCGCACATGCATCCCAGCCGTTCCCACGCAGAAAGAGGGAAGTTCGAGCGTCTCGTGTGCAAGAGGCGGGCGACGGGGGGGCTGCCCTCCTGGCTGGCCGGGCCGCCCATCCGCTGCTCGTAGGTTCGCCACAGCTCGGTCCAGTACCGCAGGAACTGGAACGGAGCGTACGGGGCATAGACCCTGGCGGCACGCGAATTACGACGAGACTCACGTATGTTGAAATGACCAGACGGGCGGTGTTTTGCCATTTGCGCCCTCCGGAGGTCCTTGCCAAGCCTCGGAAAATCCTGGCACCGAACTGCTGAGAAGGCAATTCCGGTCCCCAGGAAGGGTTCCAGACCTCTGCGACTCCACGTCATGTGCACAGTCACGACGTCGGGGTTCTGGATCGAGCGAGGGCCACGGATCTGTCGACGGTCGGGAGCCTTTGCGCCGCGTGTCGCGACGACGGTCCTGGCGACACGCCATATGCCTTGCAAGCGGGTGGCGTGTCGCTCCGCTCCCCGCGCGGCGGGAGGGCCGGGAAGAGCGCGGGCGAAGTGGAAATATCTGGGCGCGGGGGCGAGGAGAGCGTGCCGCCGCGCCGACGCGTGGGCCGGCACTGGCGCAACGACACGCTGAGCCAAAGTTCCTGACCGTAAGATCATGGCACGAACAGCTGCCGCCGTCTGACAGGGGCTTCTCCCTCTCGCTTCTCCCCCTCGCTCGCCGCCGACCTTCTCTCGGGAAGGGGCCGAAACCCACAGCCGCTCCTCAGCCCAAAGCGATCCTTATTTCGGCGTTTTGGCCGATACTCACCCCGTGCAGTTGTCGATTTCGCGCGTGTAATTTCGCTGGATCATCAAGCATGCTCCTCGATGGTCCTCGCCGAGGATTTAAAAAAACACACACACACACACGTCCGAGCGATGCCAAGTCTCTTGCTGGGCAGCAGGGCTCCAATCGATCAGGGACGAGGCGGGCCTTCGACAATTCATGCCCCCACCAGCTCCGCAAGTGGCTGAGGCTCGGCGACGGACTGGCGAGCAAGCTTAATGCTGCCGAGCTCTGGCGGGGCACCCACTCCCGTCCCAAGGGAGGGAGGGGGAGGAGAGGGTTGTCTCCTCCTCCTCCTTCCCAGGCATCCTCGCGTCGCCAATGAACAACAACAATGCGGTGGTTGCATCCTGGCGTTCACCAGAACACCCCTCACCACTCCTCGTCCGCAGCTTCCTCCCCCTCCTCGTGGCCATCGGCAGCGGCCGCAGCGGCAGCAGTTCCAGCAAGTGCTTGCGCAGGCGCGTGATCCCAGGAAACACCATGCCTGACCATTTCTACACATCCTCATCCGCCCCATTCATCCCTCCTCCTCTCCACCTCCTCCCATCATCACCTCAATTCCTCTTTCCTCCTTCACCCGTCGGCCCTCCCCTTCTCTTCGTTCTACCGGGGATGACAGCGTCACCCTCTACCTCATCCTCATCCTCAGGCCCATCCTCCCCCTGCCCATAAATAGGCGACGAGCCCAGGGGGGAAATGAGAAGGAGAAGGCCTTCTCAGAAGGCCGCGGGACTTCTTAGAAGTTCGGGGGGCTTCTGAGACGTTTCCTTGGCCTATTTCGAACACAGACAGAACTTCTCAGAAGCCCTCTAAGAAGTCCAGAAACTTCTCAGAAGCCTCGGAAGTCCCGCCCCTTCTCATTTCCCCCCCGCGCCCGCCGCCGAATAAAGTTCCCTCTGCGTAACCTGGGAACCTCTCGTAGAACCAGCTCTGACCAGGACCACGAGGCGGACCCGACGCCGGCAAACATGGGGCCACGGAACCCTCAGCGAGGAGGATCCCATGCGGACGTGGGTTAATTGAAGAGGCCCCAGAACACACGAATAAATACACACAAATAAAAAGATTCACAATATTTTCCTATATTTTCTAGGTTTCTGTCTTCCCCCCCACTTCCCATATTTTCGCATATTTTCCTGGGGATCGACAATTAATTGTGTCTGTGTGTTGTTTCCCTCCCGATTAATGTCAAGCCCCGACCCCCCAACACAAATCAACAGCCGTCAAGGCAGCGCAAGCTGCCAGCGGGCCAGCATCAAACGACACTGGTGAAGCCTCCTGGAGGAGGATCAGGGGCAAGGAGAAACAGGTCATCGTGCCCACGGGGGAAGAGGCGCAGGGTGCGTGGAAGAGGGTGGTGAGAGGTGGGCGGAGAAGGACCTCCCCCACCGCTCGACCCCGAGAAGCTGACGCCACGACAGCCCAAAAGGCAGCTCCGAAACGCCCGCGCCGCGGGCACAACACTCTCAACGCCGGCGCAGCTTGGAGCGAGGAACGGGGACCGCGAGGGCCTGTGGCCCAACGGGGGGCCCGCATCTGGCCCACATCGGCGCGTCCGTTCCCACGGAACGCTGATCACGGCATCCCCTACATGACCCCAATCGATTATAAGACATCGGCCAGTGCAGACATGACTGCTCGTGCAAAGAAGGCAGAATCCGCCACCGTGCCTCCAGCGCGTGGCGGAGCTCCCCCTTGCTCGCGCAGCCCTGAGAGACAGAGGCCAACTAGGGCCCTCACGGGCCTGGACCCCCGACTTCCTGGGCGCTCTTGGGCACCGCCTGGGTGCGTCACGTGGACCTCCGGCACGGTCCCATTGCCCAGGAGGGCCCAACAACGGGCCAACAAAGCCCCAAGAGGCCGCCCACACGGTCGCGAGTCGCCAAAAAATCGCCGCACGATACCCAGGATGGCCTCCTGACGACCCAAGATGCCCCACCCAAGAGGCCTCTAAGAAGCCTCCCAAGAGAGCCCAAAGAAGCACAACTTATTGATCCCACGTTGGTTCTGCATGATTTTAGCGTTCTCGCCTTTTCGGCGTCCAAACGCTCCAAGAGGTCCAGAACATCGCCCCAAAACGGTCCAAAAAAGCCTCAAAGACGGGCGAAAAAAGCCCCAAAGAGCCCCAAGGCGGCCCCAGATACCTACGGCCGCAGAGGCTCCCAAGAGGCCCCCACGAGGCCCCCAAGAGGCTCCCAAAAGCCAAGAGGCAGCAGACCTGCCCCCCCGGAGGCCGCCCCGAGAGCGCTCCACAGAGACCCCGGGCAGCATCCCTGAGGACGCCGATCCGCAGCCCAATCTCGGGGCGCATCCAGCCTTGGTCGACGAGGAGTTCCCAGGAGCTTCCACAGCGGACGAAGAACGCCAGGGAGAGCCGCCGTTGTCTCGGCGAGCTCCCCGCCTCCGAGTCTGCCGCCTCGCTCCCCATGGCGACGCTTCGCATTACATAGCACGCTCGGGGTGGTGCCCCAGAAGGGGCTTGGAGCGCAGCTGCCCCTCCCCACGGGGGCACCACGGGCCGGCGCGTGCGCACGCGCCAACGGCAACAGCCAGGGCAAGCACGCGATCGGAATGTGGCTGGGCTGACGGAGACTCCTGCAGAGCGCGATGTTCTAGTGTTCGGAAGCGCGGAAATGTTACCTGCCCTAGCCGTCCCCCCCCCGCCCCAGATAACGTCACGATTCGTGCTGACCTCCGAAGTGGCTCTGGCTCTTCCTGGACCGTCCCAGACGGCGCCGGCGAGAATCGTGCGGTTACAGGCCCCCCTGCCCCCCTCCATTCCCCCCGGTACAATGCCCGTCATCGCCCGGGAGAAAAAAAGAAAACGCTCTCGCACCAGCACGCAGGGATCCACACCGCCAGGAGGCTCGCGAGACTGCCAGCCGACGCCCACGGCGGCGAGCACGCCGCCGCCGCCGCGGCGGCGCACGCCCACGACGAGGCGCGCGCCGCCGCCGCCGCGGCGGACAACGCGGGCGACGCCGCCGTGGCGGACGCCGACGGCGCCGACGGTCCCGAGCGTGAGTGAAGGGGAACTGGAACACACAAATAAATACACACAAATAAAAAGATCCCCCATATTTTCCCATATTTTCTGGGTTTTTGTCTTCCCCACCACTTCCCATATTTTTGCATATTGTCTGGGGAATCGAGGATTAATTGTGTCTGTGTGTTTCTTTCCCTCCTGAGTGAGGCCCGTGAGATCTTGGCTTCGCATTGCAGTCGACGCGTAAGGATGCGCAATCAGGGAGCAGGGTCCTCGGAGAGTCGTGTCGGCACTGGTCGAGCGGGGCGCGACCGGCGAAGGTGGTCAAGGATGGGCCGAAGGGGGAGGATGCCAGGGTACACCCTGCGAAATGCTTTAGAAATCATGGGTTAAGAAATTCATAGTCTCAGAACTTGAATAAAAACCCAACATTTCCATTCAAATCTTAAGATTTACATTGAAACGTTAAGAATAATCGAGACTCTGGCCGAAAATTTAAGTTTTCTTAAGCATCGCCTAAGGGGTACCCTTGGAAAACCGCTCATCCTTATTGTGCGCGTCGCATGATTCTTGGTCGAGCCAGGCGTCTTCGCATCACACTGGGCCCTCCCGGGCCCCGACATGCCGCAGGCAGCTGGAGCCTGTGGAGCTCCGACCGCAATGTGTTGCCATGTCGCAGTGCTTTCGCACCGCCGGATCGCCCTGGACATCTGGCGTCCCGAGTCGCGGGCCGCCGACCTCTCGACCACCTCCCCGGGGCCAGCATTTTCTCCCCGATGTGTGCTGCTTTCTGGTCCCGAAGCCCGGTAGGGGCCCCGAGAACTCGAAATTGGAGTTTCACGTGGGTCCTGCTCTAGAACAGGAGCGTACCGTAGACGTATCTACCCTTTCTTCGACCTTGCACTGCGTCGAACGCAACGGCCACGTTGTCCATAGACGCAGCCACCCCGAAAGAGTCTGTGGACGTCACGGCACCCAATGTGTCCATGAGGCTTTGGGCTAGGACGTGGGAGCGGTATGTGGCATCTGCCCAGATGTTGGTCCTCGAGAGGCAGGTCGGCTTGGCCCTCCAAGGCGGAAAGCACTTACAAAAAACCGTGCCTCGATTTCTTCGACGCGCAGGATGTCTGGGTCAGACGCCGCCGACGGTAGGTCGGGCATGTCCTCCAACAGGCGGCTTATGGACAACAAAAACAAACCAGGGTCGAAACAAGCTCAAACATACAACAACAAGTAATCGAAAACGGAAGAGAGTCCCCATACTATGTTTTGACTATTTTTGAATATTCGTATGTACAAGGACATGGCCGACTTCAGCTGGCGGCGACGACGCCCGCGCGGCGGACGACGCCGCTGGCGGCGGTGGCGACGGCCGACGGGCCGACCGCTCGCCCTGCGCGGACCCCCGCGGCGGCTCGGCAGGGCGCCTCGCCGCCCGCGCGCCCACGTTGGCCAGCGTCACGCCGCGGCAGCCGCGCGCCTCTGCCGCTCGGGCGTGGCGGGGCGCTCTGGGCTCCGCGTGTGCGCGCGCGCGCCGCGCGGGAGCCCCCCGCGGAGGCACTGCTTCTGGAGGCCCCTCGGGGGCACTTCCTCGGAGGCCGTCTCTCTCCAGACCCCAGCAAGTGCACGTGCATGGCATACCCCCCCCCAGCCGCCGTTTCAAGCAGCGCTGGGCCAAAAAAGCCGTGCATGGGAGCCCCGGCTTACGTGAAGATCGGATTTCCTTCTGGGCCTCGCTCCCCGAAACGAACTCCACGCAAGTGATAACACCAAGCGGGAAACAAACGGCTTGCAGCCGCGGGGGCCCCGAAGGTGGGCGCCGGGGCGCCGCCAGTGGTGAAAGAGGGCCACCAGAGGACGTGATGTGTTGAGTCGCCCCCATCTCTGTTGTTCGCAATCCTAACACTCCACCTTTTACTTAAGACAAGCATGTGGAGAACCTCAAGCCTCCACGAATCTGCGGGCGAAGTGCACCTGACCAAAACTCCGGAGGGACGCGTGGCCCAGTTAGCCACGAGCATCGTGAGACACGGCACAGACCAGGCGAATCAGGACGAGGTTGGGGAGGACGACGAGGGTAAAGGGGTGTCCGTGGCGCACCGCTTTGCGCAGTTAAAGTGCCACTCTCTCCGAAAAGCACCGCCTCTTGGGAGGCCCCCATCGGGGGTTTCCCTCCCGTCTGGGTGGGGGCCTCCACAGGCCCTCGACGGAACCTCCACGAGAAGTCCTTCCGCCGGACGCCTTTTCTGAGGCCCCCCTTCGGAAGCGCCTGCGGAGGGCCCGCTCCCGAACCGCCTTCGGGCGCGCCTTTGGAGGCGCCGTCGTAGGCGCCTTCGGAGAGCCCTCGGAGGTCTTTTCGAAAGTCCCCCTCCTCGGAGGCCTCCTCGGAGGCGCCCTCGGAAGCCTCCCATCGGAGGCCCCTCGGAGGCATATGGAGGCCGCCGCCGCCGCGACCGCGCGTCTGCGGCGCTTCGCCTGCGGCAGAGACTGGGGGCCGAGTCTCGAGCGAATCCTCTTTGACGTCGGGCGGACTTTGATTCTAAGAACGTGGCGCGAGCGAGGTCCTTTTCCTCTTCCTGTTCCTGCTCCTGTTCCTGCTCCTGTTCCGCCTCCTCCTCCTCCTCCTCCTGTTCCTATATACTCTCCTGTTCCTCCTTTTCCTCCTCCTCCTCCTCCTCCTCCTCCTCCTGCTCTTCCTCCTCCTCCCCCAGTCCCCCACCTCCTCCTCCTCCTCCTCCTCCTCCTCCGCCCCCGTCTCCGCAATTGTTGTGACATTGAGCGGACGTTCCTCCACATATTGTAGCGTCCGACCGCATCTTCCTCCTCCTCCTCCTCCTCCGCCTCCTCCTCCTCCTCCTCCTCCTCGTGCTCCTCCTCATCCTCCTCCTTTTCCTCCTCCTCCTCCTTCTTTCCTCCTCCTGCTCGTCCTGCTCCGTCTCCCTGCGGGGGGAGGAGTCTCGTGGTGGTGGCGTTGGGGCGCCCAACGCCCCTGGGCCCAGCTTCCCGGCGCAGCCAGGCGCGGCCGCGGGCGCTTCGAGTAGCGGGGGGAGAGAGGGAGGAGGGGGAGAGGAGGGGCCGCGGCTGGGGCGAAACACGGCGGCCGCGGGCGTTTCGAGTAGGGGGAGAAAGGGAGG